CCCCCCCTGCCCCCAAGTTTCTGTACAGAGTATTCAAACGACATCAACCCGGTCGCGACCTCAGTGATTTCTTGTCCTATCTCCATTTTTTTAACATTGAAAATGTGACTTCTTCTTAAGCTCTCTCTTCGTTAAGAACTGTTTTCATGATTATTAAAAATGGAGAGAGGACAAGAAAGCACTGAGGTCGCTCGTGCCGTTACGACGCTCTTTAGTTTTAGTTTTAGTAAAAGTTTTATGGCACTTGCAACACAATAAGGTCATATAAGTGCTGAAGATTAGAGGTGTTTCAAGAGAGTAACAAACACAAAAAAGAAGGGGCAGAGATCAGGACAATAGATGTTTTATTGGAAAGGAGCAAACAACAACAGAACACCCGCCAACCACCCACTGCGACACTCCCGAGAGCGAGCTATGCTGACCTGTGACCCCTGTCTCCATGGCGACGTCGCTGATCTCCGTGTCGGTCTCGATGGAGCGCACGGCCCTGACCTCCACGCTGTAGTTGTAGCCGGCCCGCAGCTGCGACAGCGTCAGCTCGTACGAGTTGGTCGTGTTGACGGCAGCGAGACTCTCCGACTTGGAGCTGTCCTCAACTCCGTAGGTCACCTGAGGGGTTAAACAATGACTCATCACTTGTCGGATAACGTCAATGAACTTTTAATAATTGAACGGGGTTACAAGTGATAACGACATCAACTGAAATGAAACTGGACAACTGGATCTACAAATACACACAGGAATTATTATTACTATTATTATTAACATTATTATTATCATTATCAACAACTGTAAAGTGGGTCTCCTTTCTAAACACCAGTCTAGTGACCTCCAAAGGTCAGGGGACAGGGATTAGGGGGGTCAGGGGGTTAGGGGTTGCCACTCACATCAAACCTGTCCTGACTGCTGGTCCTGTTGGTGGTCCAGCGCAGGGTCAAGGCCGTGGTGTTGACCGTCACCGCCTCCAGCTCCTCTACGGGCAGCGGCTCTGTGGACGACACAGACAGACACACAGTGAGACAAAGAGTGGAACAATCGCGTCGCATCACGGTCAAACACAATATTGTTCGAGTCCTATCTTATCCAGTTTCTAGTAGTAAAAATGCATTCACTAGTTTTGTATTCTCAATTACGTATTGAGTTTTGTTTTGTTTTATTCATTCAAATATCAAATATCAGCTCAAATTGTTTTTGCTTTTTCGAATAATTTGAAATGCGCTCAGAGCTTGTTCTTTAACTCTTAAATCAGAGTTGAGCGCTATATAAATGTCATATTTTATCATCATTACCAGAATCCAATTACTGAGAGATTTTCACTTTAGACAAAGTCAAAACTGTGTGATGTCATCAATGTGTACAAGGTGTCTGGGTAAGTTTTGTGGGATGGTCTTTACTCAAGGATGTACTTAAGAGAGAGAGAGAGAGAGAGAGAGAGAGAGAGAGAGAGAGAGAGAGAGAGAGAGAGTGAGAGAGAGAGAGAGAAAGAGAGAGAGTGAGAGAGAGAGAGAGAGAAAAAGAGAGAGTGTGAGAGAGAGAGAGAGAGAGAGAGAGAGAGTGTGAGAGAGAGAGAGAGGATTACTATAGGAGCTGTGGGCTGCAAATGTTCTTCGTATTATTGTACAGTGCATTGAGCACTTCTTTGTGGAAATGTGCTATGAATACAATTTATTATTATTCTTTATTACTATTAAAATGGATGGTTCAGGTAAGAGTTGACGACAATCCGTAAGTGTGCGTGTACTCACTGGTGACGGCCAACATTCGGACGCTCACTCCGAACTGCGGCGCTCGGCCAGGTACCAGCACGGCCGTCCTAATGGCCACCACGTGGCTCACGCCAGGCGCCAGATTCTCAAACGTCACGTTGGTCCGGGTCCTGTCACAAACATACAATAATAATAAGAATAATAATGATAATACTATTAATAATAATAATAATAATAATAATGATAATAATAATAATAATAATAATAATAATGATAATACTATTAATTATAATAATTAAAATAATGATAATAATATAAATAATAATAATAATGATAATACTATTAATAATAATAATAATAATGATAATACTATTAATAATAATAATAATAATGATAATAATAATATAAATAATAATAATAAAAATATTAATAATAATAATAATAAAGAAGATCATTTCTATAGCGCCCACTCCCAAGAGAACACAGCTCTAGCTAGGTGTTTTACATTAAGGCATGTACGAACAATATTCACACACGCAAACACACACACACACAAACACGCACACACATCGTTACGAAATGAGCACATATATACACATACATAATAGAATAATATACACACCGCAATTCACAAAATGCATAAATGGATACATAGTCATTTACGTAACATTGTACTGAACATGAATCTACTGACCTAAAAATGATGTCATTAAATGTGTCTTTAAAGATATTTTACATTTAGACTCAGATGTTGTATGTCTCAAGGGTTGGGGAAGAGAGTTCCAAACTGATGGAACACACAATAGTTGTAGTTTTTAATAGTTATAGTAAGAGTTTCGTGGCACTTGCAACACAATTAGGTAAATAATTGCCAAAGATTAGAGATGTTACTAGAATGTTTTAGATTTTCGTTTTAGTAAGAGTTTTACAGCACTTGCAAAAAAATAAGATCAAAAGAGCTGAAGATTGGAGGTGATAAAAGAGAGTTTAGTTTTAGATTTATTTAGAGCTTTATGGCACTTGCAACACAATTAAGTCATATATAAGTGCCGAAGCCTAGAGGTGTTACTAGAGGGTAACATACAAATAAAAAAAGAAAAAGGAGAAGAGGTAAGGACGACAAATGTTTGATAGGAAAGAAGGAGTAAACCACACCAGAGCATCTGCAAACCACTCACATCTAAGATGAGAAGTATATCGCACATACAAAGATGGAAAGAATAACAGAAGGCAGAATACACCTAGCTGACTGACAAGACACAAACTGAAACCATTGACCCGTTTCCCCAACTGTCCCAAAACCCTGGTCCGTTGGTAAATAAAACCCCTGTAAGTTTGACAAAGAAAAAAGAGTGAGCGAGAACACGCATTAAACTTAGTCTCCCGTGCCTCTCTCAAACTCTTTCTCCCTCCCTTGCAGGACCATTATACCTGTAAACTTTAATAAAAATAATAAATAGCATTTGTATAGCGCAAATCCCCGCTCAACAGCAAGCTCTATACGCTTCACAATCTATACTATTACCCCAGCAGACCTGAGAGCATTCTGAAACAACCTCAACTTCCTGGGAAGCATATTATTATAGTGCATACGGCCATTTATTGGCGCCTAAACACTAACATGTGGCGTCGGTGGCCTAGTGGTTAGGCTCTCGGACTCGCAACCGTAAGGTCGTGGGTTCAAATCCCGTCAGGGGCCCGACGTTGTGTCCTTGGGAAAGGCACTTTACACGAATTTTCCTCACTTCACCCAGGTGGGAATGGGTACCCGGCTATAGACAGCGAAAGATCTTGTCAGTTTGTTAGCGTTTGAGCGCTTAATCAGCTGCTTGCACTGTATGCTTCCCGGGAAGCTGAGAATGTTTCGGAGTGTTCTATGGTCTGCTGGGGTAATAATATAGTGTAAAGCGCATCGAGCCTGCTGTTGAGCGGGGATATGCGCTATACAAATGCTATTTATTATTATTATTATTATTTCAATCATTATTTCTCTCTTTCTCTCTCACACCTCTTTTCCTATCACTCCACCCTTTCCCCACTCCTCACCTGGGCACATTGAAAGACTGTACGGAGTTGGGATCCCCCGACCGGATCCCCAGCTGGAAGAAATTGAAGTCTCCACTGACCGGTGCGGTCCAGTTGACCGTCAGACTGTCGGAGGTCGCGTCCACTTTCTGCAAGGCTGCCACAGACTCTGGGTCTGAGACAGGCAGGGGGAGAGAATTAGTGTCAAAGTGTGTGTGTGTGTGTGTGTATGTGTGTGTGACTTTGTGTGTGTGTGTGTGTGTCTATGTATGTGTGGGGGGTGGGGTGGGGGAGACAATAAGTGTCCATGAGTGGGGGAGCGATGGTGGTGTTTTACTGCACTTGCAACACAATAAGGTCATATAAGTGCCGAAGATTAGAGAAGTTACAAGAGAGTAACAAACACAAAAAGAAAGACGGAGGGGAGATAAGGAAGACACATGTTTGATTGAAAGGAAAGAAGGAGCAAACCACATGCGTTAGTGCGCAGATGTTTTACAGCACTATCTTCACAATTTGGACAAGTGTATAAGCAAGCTTATCCTAAGTAATCACCAGTTTTTCTCATCTCATTTGTGCTATTTATCTGATCAAATACAATACCAAACAATGTTAGAATTAGCTGAGAGCGTACGAGCTATTCATTTGTCAACAGTTCTGTCCTATATGAAACCTTTCCAACAATCTTATGGACAATTCGACTAATTTACCTCTAATACAAACGGACCGTTTAGCCAGTACATATTTCCTTTGTGATCCTTACAGAACCACATTGCATCCTGTTTTAGTTGGAGTTTTACAGCACTTGCGACAAAACTAGGTCATATAAGTGCTGAAGATTGGTCATGTTACTACTGGAGAGTAACATACAAAAAAAAAAGAAGGAGGGGAGATTGAGATGAGGACAACAGATTATCGATGGGAAAGAACTTAGAAGGAGCAAACCACACCAGAGCACCCACCAACCACCCACCCAGCAATTTGACTTTTGTCTCCACCATGCTAACACAAACACATAATACATAATCCAGTACGCTAATGCACACATACATACACAAATATATGCTAATGCAAGAACCAGTAGAATATGTTTTCAAGCAGGCGCCTGCATTACACTTCCTTCTGAGCAAACCATCAAAACGTGCTCTCACAGTTACAGACTTCGAAGCACGTACAATTACAGACTTCGAAGCACGTACAATTACAGACTTCGAAGCACGTACAATTACAGACTTCGAAGCACGTACAATTACAGACTTCGAAGCACGTACAGTAGGAACAAGCATGCCAGTCAAAGACTATAAACAGGAGAATAAGGAGATGCAAGTAATGTTGGAAGCTTGTGAGTATATCAAAGATAATATAAAATAAGCATGCCAGACCTAATTTTAAAAAATAATAAAAACAGGAGCAGCACTATAACTGACTGATGGATCTGTAAGATGAATAAAAGTTTAAAAATGAGCAAAATATGTAAAAAAAAAAACTGCACCACACCAAAGTCATAAAAGGAAAATAAAAGGTTTTAGAAAGTTGCTGATAAAAAAATGTGCGGAACGTTGACCATTATGTTAGAATAGTTTAGTTCAGGACATAGGACTTATTGACACACAGAGGAAGTTCGAGTCCGCGGGGGGAGGGAAGGAGGAAAGACGTGTCAGTGAAAGAAACAGAAAAAGTTTGAAATTTGAGTTTGAGTAAAGAGAAGCGTACAAGTTGTCGTAATAAACATCATTTAGTATTGGGGAGAAAGAAAGAAAGATAGACAGACAGAAACAATGGAAGGGTAGTAAAAAAAGATTTAACAGCGGCGCCCTCCAGCCACCCTTTAGGTGCCACTCAACAAGACAATAACAAAAAAGTGCAAAACTGTATCAGTTTCACGCCGCTTGCAACACTGTAAGGTAGTTAAAGAGGCGGGACCATCTGAGATACGACCGAGCTAAATGGGAGCATATATTTATAAAGTAAAGTGTCTTTTCCAAGGACACAACGTCGGGCCGAGCTAAGGCTCAAACCCCCAAACCTGCAGTCTCACGATTACGAGTCCGACTACTCCAGAACTTATGTTTTAGTAGAGGTTTTACTGCGCTCGCAACTGCAAAAGGTCATATGAGCGCCAAGGGGTGGATGTCAACAGAGAAGTCCTTACAGGGAATCAGACTTACTCTGCTCACCTCTTTCCAGAACTTGAATAACTAGAAGACAACAAACACACAGTCCGTTGGGTTACAAAGCGGTGGATGAATAAGCACAAACAATCACTCAGCTCAAAACAACAGCAACAGCAACAACAGCAGTTAAAGTCTTTCACGCTGCGCAGAAAGCTGTGAGGTGGTGGAAGGGTCCACAACCCACTGGGTGTTCGCTTGGCCTTTGTTTTAGTAAGAGTTTTACGGCACTTGCAGCACAATAAGGTCACACAAGTGCCGAAGATTCGAGGTGTTACAAGAGAGTAACAAACCCAAAAAGGAAGGAGGGGAGATAAAGACGATATATATCTTTGATAGGAAAGAAGAAGCAAACGACACCAGAGCACCCACCAACCACCCACTCACTTGGGCTAAGCTAAGCCACTAGGTCAGTGTTGAATTAGTTCGGTGGAGTACGCTGAGCATATGAGACAGTTATCGTACTATTTTCATGACTATTTCTGTTGCATTCACGAACGTAAGGTGATATTTAACATAGGAAGAAAATAATCAGTTATAAAAAAAAAATAAGAATGAGAAGACGAATTTTAAAAAAAGCCTAATTTTGATTAAAGCTCAAAACTACGGCACACTCAAAGTAGTCAAAGCCTACTTCAGCTAGTTTTAGTAAGAGCTTTACAGCGCTTGCAACACAAATAAGGTCATATAAGTGCCAAAAGCCAACTTGGTCCATAACACACAGAACTGACTGGTCCATAACACACAGAACTGACTGGTCCATAACACACAGAACTGACTGGTCCATAACACACAGAACTGACTGGTCCATAACACACAGAACTGACTGGTCCATAACACACAGAACTGACTGGTCCATAACACACAGAACTGACTGGTCCATAACACACAGAACTGACTGGTCCATAACACACAGAACTGACTGGTCCATAACACACAGAACTGACAAGTCCGTGAGGAAATGGACAGAGAGCTGTTCAGAAATTTCTACAAAAAAAGCTCAAATTTAGTGCGGAACTGAAAATCAGCTTGAAGCATTCTCTGATAATTACTTACAACCAGTATATCCACATATTTCCGCAGAGTTTGTATTTCAATAGACCTATTTGCAGAGTTTGTATTTCAATAGACCTATTGGATTTTTAAGGGGAAAAAAGACATAAATATGCTAGAGGGAGAAATTTTAAAGAGTATGCCAGTGTGTATTGGCTTGACCAAACGTTTGTACATATGTACACATTGACATACAACTCTGTCAAGAGAAATCTGGAAAGAGAAATTGCTTGTTGTACACAGCAAGAACACAGCGAGATTGCAGTAAGAAGGACAGCCATAAGGAGACAGCTGTCAAGTTTTGGTGTACGGTGCTGGAGTGTTTGCTGCTCAATGTGCATGTTTGTTTGTTTGTTTGTTTGTACCTGTCTTAGCGCGTGCGTCTATACATAGTGTTTCCCCAAGGGCGTATGTGTACGCATGTGTGTGTGTGCGTGTGTGTGTGTGTGTATGTGTGTGAGTGTGTGTGTGAGTGTGTGTTAGAAAGCGAGTTTGTGTGCGCATACCCCCACACATACACATGTGCGAGTGTGTGTGTGTTGTGCGTCTGCTTGTGTGTCATGTTGTGTGTCTGCACATGTTATGCACGTGTCTGTGTCTGTGTAAGCAATCGGGCCATGCCATCTGGTGAGAAAGTGAGCAGCCGCACAGAAATGTGCGTCAGAAATAAGTCACAAATCACAAGTCACAAAGTCAGAAAAAAATCTGACTGATGCGTTAGGCCAGAAGTCACAGCAATAAGGGGAAGCAACCGCAGGGGGGGGGGGGGGGGGGCAAACTCCAGTACAGTCTTACAACAACAACGAGTGAGCGGCCGCTACTGGGCACGCACGGAGCCAGCAACAACAACAACAGCTGTCCTTCCCGGCTGAAAATGAAAAAAAAAAAAGGGGGGCAGAAAGTTCCCTAGGTCATTGAGGATGTTACGAAAACAAAACAGTGACAATAAAAACTCTAAAACCGTGACAAAAACCTGAAACCAGAAAAAAATCAAACAAACAAAAAAAAAAAAGAAAAGAAAATCAAAACAAAGTGCAGTCGCCTCAACAATAAACAAAATGTAAAAACTATCACTGACGGACATGCATCGAACTGAAAAGAAATTATATTAGAAAATTTCAAAATACAATTAATCAAAAGTAGATAATATTGCAAAATATGAAACAAAATGAGGCGCAAAATATTATGCTAAGACCAAATAAAAACAACGAAAACCACCACCAATGTTAAACAGTAGAACAACTTGGCTGCAACACTGATAACCTTCACGGACGACCCGACATAAAGGTCAAGGTTAAGGTCAGCAGCAGCCATGAAGCTCGGGTGAGGTGAACGTAACATACAAAAGCTGGTAAAAGTAAAGTATAGCCCTCCGCCCGTCCCGCATACATTTCAAACTAGTTTTAGTTTTAGTCAGGTTTTACCGCGCTTGCAACTGCACAAGGTCATATGACATGAGCCCCAAGGGGTGGATGTAAATAGAGAAGTCTAACAGGGAATCAGGCTTACTCTGCTCACCTCTCTTGCCTCAACAGAACAAAGTCTGCTTCCACTATCAAGGCACCCTGGAAATAACAGGTCACAAGAGTGTGACAAACATACAAAAGAAGTAGAGGAAAAATGACGATAGTAAGGATTAGGAAAGAAAAAGCAGCAGTTCCCCCTACGTTGTTCGGGCACAGTATGAGCATGACATTGATAAATCAGCCCATTTACAATTCTACTGTCCATAAGAAAATGTTAATTCCCCCCTTTGGGAATGGCCTAAAGACAACTTCAGTCAGTGGTACTGCCCTGGGGGAGGGGTAAGGGTGGAGATATACTTTACTTTTACCATAAAATGTACCTGAAAAAAAAGAAAGAAAGAAACAAACAAACAAACAACCGACACCAATCACATGACCAGTGAACAAAAATAAAAACAAGTTGTCAGCCAGATGTTCAAATGAACTAAGTCATAGATTTTGAAACACTCTTTTTAGCAGGTCCTTATGCTGCTGTATTTTTTGCATAAAATGCTCAAGAAATATTTTGTCGAAATTCAAATTCTGAACCTTGAAAAAAACGTAAAGAGAGATACATAATGTCTGGGCAACTTTTAACCCTTCCAGCCCCATGCGTGTATATTTTCAGGAGCACTTGTACCTCCCACCGTCCGAAGAGCATAAATTATATTATCAGTTTTGGGAGGTACTGAATTAGTGCACTTGTTCAGTAACCTTTAAACAGTGTTATTTTGTTTGTTTTGGTAAAGTGTTTTACGGCGCTCGCAACTGCATAAGGTCATATGAGCGCGCGGGACACACCTAATATTTTCAGTTGGTAGGAAATTTTGAATTTTGCCCTGGTGGCGGCCGAAGCCTACTCTTATCGATTTTAGACCACCAAGGGATCTTTAACGTGCGCAACTTGCACACAGGCCCTCCGAGATTTTTCGACCTTGTCCGAGAAGGCTCGGTGTAGATCTTTCCTAACAGATCAGGGGTGTGGCAGAAAGACAGCAGTAAGGAGGAACCAAGGAGTAACAATAGAAAGGCTGCAGAAAGAGTCAGGAGCCCAGAGGAGGGGGCAAAGGAGGTGAGGGGGTGGGGGCAGAAAGTGGAAATGAAAGCAGACAACAGAACATTGCTAGAGAGCAGGAAAGGAGGTGAAAGGAGACAATTTTAGAGAAGAAAATTTTTTGGTCGCTAACCGAATTCGAACCCGGGACCTTTGAATGAGAGGCCAACACCTTAACATCTAGGCCACGAGAGCCCCCAAACAGTGTTATATGCTATTATGTAAACCTCATTACAAAGATACTATATCACTTTTTAGAATTTTAGAATGCACGCTTCTTTTTCTGAAATACTGCTGTATTGGAAGGGCCGGGGGTTAGTGAGTGCACAAAAATGGCTGGGGCTGGAAGGGGAAATAGAAGAATGAAATCGTTTTTTTTTCTCTTTCCAGAAAAGTTTCGCTTTCTCGGCTGACCGAGTCCATTAAAACATCTTGTCAACAAAATCCATCCCCGTGACTGAAAGAAAAACAAAATGAGTCCTTCGCCGAAGAAGAATGAAAGAATGAACGAACGAAAGGAAAGAAAGAAAAAAAAACAACTGTGTGCCCGTCAGCCTCTTGGTGGTGGGTGGTGGTGGTGGTGGGGGTGGGGGGGGCGACCTACATGTGGAGAAATTAAACTGAATCTCTGGACTGTACAAGAGCACGCCGTCTGACCGCTCGCTGTAGACAAACAGCTCCAGGGTGTAGTTGGCTTCTGGTTCGAGCCCCTCAAACTTATACTGATTGACAGAGGGGGGGACCTGGTGCAGGGTTAGATTGCTCGCCTCGAAGGTGAGGGCGTAGCCGGAGAGGCCCGAGCCGATGGGCGGGTCCCAGGCCACGGTGACCGAGTCGATTCCTCGCACGGCCACCCGGATGTGGGTCACTCCCAGCGGGGCTGTTTATGTGAAGGTTTGGGGGGGTTGGGGGGGGATGGTTTGAGGGAAAGGGGCGTGGGTGGGGAGTGAGGAAGGAGAGAGGTTTAGTTTTAGTAAGATTTTTACAGCACTTGCAACACAATAGGGTTGGTCATATAAGTGTCGAAGAATAGATGTGTTACAAGAGAGTAACAGACACAAAAAAGGAGGAGAGATAAGGACAATAGATGTTTGATAGGAAAGAAGGACAAACCACACCAGAGCACCCGCCAACCACCCACAAGGGGAGAGGGGGAGGGAGTGAGCGGGGTCAGGGAAGGAGGTTGGGTGAGGGGGAATTGAGGGAGGGATGGATGGATGGATGGAGGAGAGGGGTAAACAGTTTAAATGGAAGGGGGGAGGGAAGGCAGTTATGATTGAGGGGTGGGTATTTGAGCACAGTATGAGCATGACATTGATAAATCAGCCCATTTACAATTCTACTGTCCATAAGAAAATGTTAATTCCCCCCTTTGGGAATGGCCTAAAGACAACTTCAGTCAGTGGTACTGCCCTGGGGGAGGGGTAAGGGTGGAGATATACTTTACTTTTACCATAAAATGTACCTGAAAAAAAAGAAAGAAAGAAACAAACAAACAAACAACCGACACCAATCACATGACCAGTGAACAAAAATAAAAACAAGTTGTCAGCCAGATGTTCAAATGAACTAAGTCATAGATTTTGAAACACTCTTTTTAGCAGGTCCTTATGCTGCTGTATTTTTTGCATAAAATGCTCAAGAAATATTTTGTCGAAATTCAAATTCTGAACCTTGAAAAAAACGTAAAGAGAGATACATAATGTCTGGGCAACTTTTAACCCTTCCAGCCCCATGCGTGTATATTTTCAGGAGCACTTGTACCTCCCACCGTCCGAAGAGCATAAATTATATTATCAGTTTTGGGAGGTACTGAATTAGTGCACTTGTTCAGTAACCTTTAAACAGTGTTATTTTGTTTGTTTTGGTAAAGTGTTTTACGGCGCTCGCAACTGCATAAGGTCATATGAGCGCGCGGGACACACCTAATATTTTCAGTTGGTAGGAAATTTTGAATTTTGCCCT